CCGCCTCCTCAGGCACCTGCGGGCGGGCGCGAGGAGCTGCCCGGGCGCGGGCGATGGGGCCGGCGGAGCGGAGTTCGGGGGTCGGAGCCGCCGAGCCCTTCCACATCGTCTCCTTCCAGTGGCACCACGTGCAGGACCCCTACATCATCGCCCTCTGGATCCTCGTGGCCAGCCTGGCCAAGATCGGTGAGTGCGCGGCGTCCCCGGCAGAGCGGGACCCGGGAGGGCGCAGGGTGGCTCGCTCCTCCCCGCTCTCCTCCTGCCCGGGTGTCCCCCGCGCCCACCCCCGCAGCCGAGGCCGTGCCGGGTGAGCCCGGCCGTGCCTTCACCCTGGGGCTGCGCTTCTACACCCGCCTCCTGATCGGCACCGAGCGATGTCCTGCCGCTTCGCCGGCCTCGATGTTGCACGTTTGACATCGTGTCCCCAAAGCTGGCTCTCCGAGCCTCACCAGACGAGGGCCCCCCTTCCCCAACGCAAGGGGCTAGTGGTCACTTCTGTCGCACCCTGCCAAGTTTCTGTACTTGGACCGGTAGGGGTACTGCTGCCCGGTAGCCGAGAAAACTTCGCATTAATTCATTGCTACACGTTGCTCAGCATTTGGGTTGTAAGCGGCTTGCACCGGGTCCCTTCCCATCAGCATGTAACAGCAGGTGATTCGATTATTAAAGAAAGCTTGTTGTTAAGAAACCCCCCTTCCCTTTTTCTTTTTTTAACCACAAAAGGGTTGGGGTTCAATATCTTTCTGCCGGCAAAGTTACTGAACGTCGGAACAGCACGTGCTTGTAAAGTTTAGTCCCGTAGTTGAAGCGGGCATCTGGATTGTACAGAGGTGCAAATGTAGAACTTCCACAGCATGCATGTGGCTGCATGTACTGTTGGCTTTGACAAATTATGTGGATTAGAAAGAGTATTAAAATGGCCCTGTTTCTCAGGGTGTGGACTTGATAAGGCTTTACAAAATATTCAATGGCAGAGAGAAAGTAAAGAGGGATTTATTAGGTACACTCTGTCACTGCAAGAACCAGGTGTCACAAAATGAAGCTAGTAGGCAGTCTCTTTAAAACTGACCAAAGGAAGATTTTTTTTTTCCACTTAGCATGTAGCGAAAGTGTGGAGCTCATTGCCACCAGCTGTTGTGGAAGCTGACAGTTTAGCCAGATTTAAAAAAGAAGTGTGTGGGTGGCGGGACTGGACAAATTCATGGTGGAAAAGGCATGAGAAGCTATAGAGCATGGGAGTTAGGGATACACAGCCTCTGAATCAGAACTTGCTAGGCTTTAAATGCTGGAGGCTGCCAGTGAGAGAGTTACAGTGGGAAGAACCCTGGTTTTACCCAGTTCACCCCCTTTCAGCATCCACTCTCTGCCACTGTGACACTGGGAAAGATAGACCCCTGGTCTGACCCAGTAAATGGCAATTCTTGTGTTCTTATATACTGGTATTGGATAGTCTTTGGCTAGTTTTTGGCTATGAAAAAGGTAATGTGATCATTACAGAAAGGGTAGGGGGCACTAGATGAAGTCATATTGATTTCAGAAATTATTGGTACCTCATTTGAATCTCCTATTGGAGTAATCTTTTAACATACATGTTTTGGAGCCTGTCACTGGTGCTGCTGTGAATTGGCTCTGTTAGTGTACCACTGCTTTGCTCTGGATAGCATCTGAGCTTGTACACCTCTGTGTCTTGCGGGCATTGCAGCTAAAAGCTACTGGTTTCTTCTACAGTGAAGTAGTAGCATTCATTGCTTTCAGAGGATGACCAGTTCTATCTCGAATCTCACCCCGGAGTCCCATGTGGTCACGCTGTGCAACAGAGTGGGATCTGCAAAGTCCTGGATGTTCTTGGATTTGTTACAGCACTATTTTAAGACTGGGGTAAGGTGCTGTATATGGCTCACTTCTTAAATTGCCTGTGGCTTTTTTCACTGCTATGCATATTCAGGTCCGATGCTAGTGGACAGTGCTCCTAAATGTCTCTCTCTTCTTCCCTCCTCCCCCGCCATTTCTGTAGACCTGTCCCACTTGAGATGGGCTGTAAAGAGGCATTGAGCAATAGCTGCATTGGGTGAGGAGCATATGAGCATGTCATGTTCAGCTGCTCTCCAGCAGTCAGATAATGATGTAGAGAAGGGACTGTACTCCCAGCTCAACAGCTGACTCATGTAGATTGGGAGAAAATAAACTCTGGAATTGAGGGGGGACAGCTCTTCAACTGGTTGCAGCCCTGTGTGTGCCAGGGAGTGCTTGCTGGAAGGGTGATAGACAGGAAAAGGATGTAGTGCAAGGCTTTTAAGGGGAAACACAGCCACTAGGGAGAGGGAGAGGTGGTTGACTACTAGACACAGAAAAAATTTAAAAAGAAAACACAAGTCATCACGAACATTTTTGCTCTGCTCTGTCCTCCTACAGTGGTGCAAAGGTAGTAGAGATTAACTGCAGCCTCCTTCCTGATGAGACCTCAGCATGGTGGAGACACTAGCAGACATGGTGCTGCTCTTATACTGCCCTTCCTACAATGGGATTATGCCAGTAGACCAAAGGAATGACTGGAGTATGATGTGTTCCCGCAAACCCTGGCTGGTCCTTTGGGAACCATGGCCAACTTGTCTAGGTAAAGCAACCCAGAGGGAATTTTAACAAGTATGAGAGTGGGCAGAGAATTGATGAGCCATAACCAGCTGTTGATAGCTTGTGCTCAACACAGCAGAAGTCTGTCCTGCAGGTTATTTGATAAAACAAGTTTAAAAGTATCTAATATGAAAATATCACCTTTGTGTAGGCATAAATAAATTTGACTCCTTAAATATGCTGCTAGTGACTCCATTACTAAGTTTCTTTGGAGGCATGCAGTGACAAAAGGATTAAAACTTTTTGTGTCTGTAAATAAAATCATGATGTGATTAGTGTAGGAACACAGGTTGAGAAGGCAAATAACCACAAGCGTCTTCTATATAGGGAAA